TAGCCAGGTGTACAAATGTGAGAAAGTGAGCTGGGTTTTAATGTTAGCTCAACTCCTATACAACTCCTTGTATCATGTTTTGAGCAAACAACAACATTTCCTGCATTTAAACAGTGTACCTTCCCCCATTTCTATGATGTTTCGTGTTTGTTTAGGGGCCCTTTGAACCGGCTTTAGGGACAGGATGGACCAGAAGATGCAGGCAATGCACTGGACTGTCTCTGTTAGCAGGAGGTTGGACTTTCAGTTCCCCTGGTGATGTGTTTTCCATCCCTTAGCAGGGGTTGTAGCATCCTGGTAGGGACAGATGGGATTAAACTGGAGCTTCCTTCTGGGGGCATCTGGGGTCTCAGGACTACTGCTCTTTTAAGTTCAAAGAAGCCAGTTGTTCTGAACTGGATGATTCCCTGTGAAGGTACCCCCCTGGGTTCACTCCCAGGTCCACATCCTGCAAGATATTACACAGCATTTGCTATCATTTCTGGACAAGGGAACATCCCCAGATTACCCAGAGTTCAAGTTTGTGGCTGAGGGAACCAACACCCAGCCTGGTTTTGTTTAGCCCTTTTGCATCACAGGCCGATACCCAATAAATGACTGAAAATGAATGGATAAGTGCCTCTGATCAGTCACAACACAAATATTTACACTGACTCTCTACAGGCGTCTGTCAGGATCCATAACTCAGTCTGATACCCCTGAGACAGTGGAAAGAGCTCAAGGAAATGAATGCAAATTTGTAATTATACTCGAGCTCCAGATCTGGATCGTTGGGTGGCCGGGTTTCATCAGAACACTGAGCTGCTGTGTTGGTTCGATGGTTATCGGAACAGTTTTCATTTCCTGCTAAACATTTTTTTTTTCATATATTTGTATGCATTTCTGGGTCTGTGTGTATCTCCGGTCTTTGTCAGTATCCCTGTCTGAATGACAGCCCTGCTGGAGAGGAGCTTACGCACACACAGGATAAAATGAGTCAATATTTACCGAAGAAGGAACTTAACCTCACAGTGGAGTCTAGAGAAAGTCTAGAGATAGTTGCAGTGAAATAAAAGACATCTCTTTTGTGAATTCCAGCCATCTCTAATGTGAACCAGTTTTTACCGGCAGATATTATGATTTTGTTGATTTGTCAGAAAATGGACACCTATGCTTTTTTTTTTTTTTTCAACTCAAGATGCGCAAGTGAAGTTTTTTTCTTTTCAAATTTGTTCATATCAGTGAACTGTAATGCCACTGAGAGGTGCACTGAATGGATCTGCACCCTGTGTGGACCAGCTAGACCGCAGCAATGATTGATTTTGCATTCCAGTCATGCTCCTGTGCAAACAGCAAGTAAACGAAAGCCTAACCCTGCACGCTTTTATGGAAAGGGCCAGCAATGAAAATGCATGTAATCATCGAAAGCAGGGGGGCAAGTACCCAGGGCTTTGCCTGGGATCAGCGCTCAGAGATGGAAACTTGGAATCTGGACACTAGGAAGGCAGTCGAATGCATCGGAGTACGTACAAGTACACAGCTGCCACAATTGAAAACAATGTTTCTTATGCTTGAATGCTGCATCAGCTGAAAGTGAACACCTGTTGTCTGTCTTATACTCAGCTGGTGATGTGTGTAAGTGATCATTTAGATTGTGACAAAAGGTAAAGAAGTTGTTGTAATTTAAGGAAAAATACAACTATTTTTCTTTTACTTCAGTGTTATTTGGGTTTACTCTGTGGTCACCTGCCCAGCTGGGAGTCCACCACAAAAGGCAAAGTGAGGACAGAAGTTGTGGGAAAAAGGCTGAGGTTGGCCCTCTCCGCTTCCCACTGGGCACAAGCAATTTTCAGCTCTAGTGAGCCAGCTCCAGGAATACCTAAGTCTGAACACAGAACAATACTCAAGCTCATTTATTCATGTCTTTCCAAGGCAGCAACTGACTTGTCACACTTTTTCCCTAGTACACTAAACAAAAAGTACACATTTAGGATTACAGCATCCACTGGCACACGTTTAACTCAGTTAGTTAAACAGAAAAAGTTGAAGGATGTTGAAACGTACACCAAACCTATTTAATGTATCGCTTCAAGTGTACTGAGCATATTAATCCATTCAAAATGTGATGAGATAAATGAGAAAAATCTGAATATTCATTTCTCTTGGGATAATAACAGAGGTGTCACTCATGTTCTGATTGGGCTCAGTCAGATTCTCTGGCACCGACTGCAGCAGTACTGAGACTTGCAGGTAAGCTCTGTGATTGATAGCTATGCTAAGAGGGCCACTGCTGCTCTCCCCAGTCGATGACAATTGCACTCCTGCTCAGCAGGCTGCAGTGCCAGTGTTCCTACCAGTCAACACTAAAGCAAAGTCTTTCTATCTTTCTACTGTTCAGCACAACTTTGCTGCCATTGCTCACTGTCACTTAGAGAGGCGAGATAAAGATGTTTTAAGCAGGAATCACATCAGCTCAATGTAAAACTACAGCCTGATGGTAGAGGTAAAGGAAATCTCAGGCTTTACTTGGAGGCTGGAGTGTCTACTGCAGGATGTCCATGTTAACATGACTCTCAGTAAGTAAATGGAAGCTTTAAAACCAAGCTTAGGCCCCCTTGAGACCTTTTTTTTCAGAAAACGCGGCTGTCCACATTGAGCCTAAAAGGGATTTGTGTATCTTTAGTTGACTCTAGCCGGGGCACAGCTTTCTGTGTGTTGTGGCAGAGATTTCAGGTGTGGGACGAGGCTTATGGCAGCTGGAGGTGGACAAAGAGCAGCTATGGGAGTTCACTGCCTCCACAGTGCTATGACCATCTATACTGATCCACTTTACTTCTCTAATCCACTTGGTTCAAACGAGCCACAAGTGTGTCCCATTTGTATTGTTAGTGTTTTTCAATGTAAATCAGTGGACTTAAACATTTTATGGGGATTAGGCCAGCTTAGCTCCATGCCTAATGCAATGATTAGGGATTTCTGGCACCGCAGATAAGTGAATGTTCACTAGTTACTCAGCCACTGGGCTCGACGGTTAAAGACCTTAATGCCAAAATGGCAAAGTCTTGTATGGCTTTCTAGCTGCAGAAGCGTCACTGATAATGCTTCATTAACTTTGCTTACATTGTGATAGATCAGATTGGACGTCGTCCATTTGATGAAGCCAAACAATCTTTAATCTAATCTTGTATCATTAAATTCAAGGTGTTATCCAGACGCATGTGGCTTTCCAAGTAGTTTTTAGTTAAGTTCACCTTGATTTGTATTCACTGCAATGTCAAGAAACTTATTGGATAGCATATTGATCTTTCTTTTAAGTCACAACAGATGGCTACTTTCAAAAGGCTTCGATTCAGAGCCAGAATAAGGTTTGGGTGGCGCTTTCTCCAAATTGAGGAGCTCAAGGAAGAAAAGTTGAAGCAGTACTTCACTTTGATAATATGTATGTCAAACTGAGAGGTGATAAGTCACCAAATGTGCCATAAAATATGACCAGCAGCACCCCAGAAACGACTCCAAGAGCTGTTAGAATACTCAGGACACAGAGCAGACAGAGCACATTACTCGTTATATCAAAGGAGTATATGAGTCGCACCACTGAGCAACGCTTTCAAAATCAAAGCAAGGTTTACAACACAGGCGAATGTTTAAGGTTAAAAGCGAGAACTAGTGGGTCACTTGGGGATCAAAAGAATTTTATAGTGGCGTATGAAGAGAATTTTTAAGTGCAAGTTGGAAATGGACCTTTGAAGATAAAATGTCAGCTCCAATTTTGTCAATAATTCCTTTTAAAGTTTTTATTGAACTCTTGGTAATACGGACTGTGTGCGATGTATAATTATCACTCTTACCCACTTGCTTTAAGAATGTATGCACTAACACTCCATAGTTTAAAAGAAAGACCCATCTTAAAACACCCATCAAGTGCAAATATGAGGGTTTGGGAACGCACGCAGGAGACAGAAGAAATGAAAAGACAGCAATTCAAGCCACAAGCTAGTCATTAGGCATTATGTGGTCGAAAATGTATCCATCAAAACGGAAAGGCAGACAAAAGCCTGGGAAAAAAAGTGCAGCTTTGAGCAGTCTGCGTGGAAAAAAAAACCAAAAATGCCAAGTTGATAACAGTGGAGATGTACATCCTTTGAAACGAAAGCAATGTTTTGTTTTGTTTTCAGAAGTCACATGTGTCTGTGGAGAAATTAGTTGCCAGGGCTCGTTTTATTTTCTTGTAGGTCTGCTATTGAAGGTTTAAACACTTATACAGAGCTAGTAATTAAATAAACCGATTTGCCCAATGTGTAAACAACCTATTGCTGGTGATTGTAGAATTAATTACACTTTATATTAAACTTTGCACTTTGCCGAGGATAGTTTTGATCCTAATTTGCCACGTTGCCTTGACTTGTCTCATTTTTCATCAACCCATTTCAGTCGTACCATCCTGTCAGTGTGTTTTTTTTTTTTCTCTCTCTCTCTCTCCGTAATGGAGCAGGTGTCTAATGGGAAAATGTTATTTATGAACTGATTATGAAAAATATATGTGCCAGATATCTGTTTTCCTAATTACTGAGCTGATTGGTGTACAGCCAAAATTGCTGCTGACTAATGATTTGCTTTTAGACGGTGCTAAAAGCTGGTTTAAAACAAAAGGTCACACTGTTCACACTGATGGTTTGGAGAAACCTATATTTATTTTTGTAATCTATCTCTGGGTCGTCATTATTCTCCACTCACACCATTACATGCTCAAATACGGCATTGTGTGCAGTATTTGGTAGCGCATTGTTTTAGATTTTTACCAAATGCAACTGCTCACAGTCATTATCTATTTTAATTTAGATTGATTAGTTTCTGCTGTATTTTTAGACTATTATGTCTGAAAACACAAAAGTGGCTGAAATATATTTAGGTAAACTATTTATTACTTTATCCACACCCCTATGAAATGACTAAAAAGCTGAAGCTGTCGTCATCTTTTGTACCTTATTACAAATCCTCTCTTCTCTTTTGTTCTCTTGTAGGTTCCATCTGAGTAGGAGGTGGCGACAAAAGACCAAATGCCATGGATGTACTCAATTTCACATTCTGGAATGCCTCTGAAGGCAATGAGACAGAACCTGTGGAAGAGGGGGAAAGCGCCTACAAGACCGTGGAGGTGGTGTTCATCGTCTTGGTGGCTGGCTCGCTCAGTCTGGTTACAGTTATTGGAAATATCCTGGTCATGCTTTCCATCAAAGTTAATAGGAACTTACAGACTGTCAACAACTATTTTTTATTCAGCCTTGCATGTGCTGACCTAATTATTGGACTGTGCTCGATGAACTTGTACACGGTCTACATAGTAATAGGCTACTGGCCCCTGGGCCCGGTGGTGTGCGACTTGTGGTTAGCCTTGGACTATGTTGTCAGCAATGCGTCGGTCATGAATCTTCTCATCATAAGCTTTGACAGATACTTCTGCGTCACCAAGCCCCTCAGCTACCCCGTCAAACGGACCACCAAAATGGCGGGAATGATGATCGCTGCAGCCTGGGTCCTATCCTTCATCCTCTGGGCGCCTGCTATTCTCTTCTGGCAGTTCATTGTCGGTGGGCGGACAGTACCTGAGAAGGAGTGCTACATCCAGTTCTTTTCCAATGCTGCTGTCACTTTCGGCACAGCCATTGCCGCCTTTTACCTGCCCGTCATCATCATGATTCAGCTCTACTGGCAGATCTCCAGAGCGAGCAAGAGCCGCGTGAAGAAGGATAACCGCAAGCCATCAGGAGCCGCCCCAGAGCCTCTGTCGCCTGGACAGAGGAGGAACAACTCTCCAAAACCCAACAATAACAACGTACCGGGGGAGGATGCGGGGCATTCCCAGCATCAGAATGCTGAGGACGGGGCTAACCAGCATGATGGAAAACTGCAGAACGGCAAAGGACCTTCTTCCACCACCGCCGAGGGGGAAACCGAAGGCGACGATGGGGCAAGGGAGAACTGCGCTCCCGGAGAGGAGAAGGAGAGCTCCAATGACTCCACGTCTGGCAGCGTGGCTGCTTCCAACCAGAAGGACGAGGAACCAGCCGCATCCACAGCCAACTCCAGCGCTGAGACAAGCCAGCCGCTCCCACGTCAGCGAGCCAAGGCCGGGGGCTCCAAGCTGACCTGCATCAAGATCAAGACTAAATCGCCCAAGGGTGACTGCTACACGCCGTCTAACGCCACCGTGGAGATCGTCCCGACCTCGGAGCGGCAGAACCACGTGGCGCGCAAGATCGTGAAGATGACGAAGCAACCTCCGAACAAGAAGAAGAAAGCGGCGCCATCACGGGAGAAAAAAGTTACCCGCACCATCATGGCCATCCTGGTAGCTTTTGTAGCCACCTGGACTCCTTATAATGTGATGGTGCTCATTAACACCTTTTGCTCCAGCTGCATCCCCAACACAGTGTGGACTATTGGTTACTGGCTGTGCTACATCAACAGCACCATCAACCCGGCCTGCTACGCCCTGTGCAACGTCACGTTTAAAAAGACATTCAAACATCTCCTCCTCTGCCAATATAAAAATATTAGGTCGGCCAGATAAATACGGGCCACTCGGGAGGAGGAATTGAAGTATGAGTTGCCTCCGTGTGTGTGTGTTTGAGTGTCCTCCATCAATATGTGTGTCTGTGAAAGGACTTCACGTGTTCACGCATGGTAAAGACTGCAAGAGTATATTTTAAAAATCACCTTCCATCCTTTTATCATTAGTTTTCCAATTTCTCTCAATAACCGGTTGTAGCACTTTACACGAATCCAACTGAAGCCAGTTGCGTTGGGATGTGTTGTGCAGGAGCAGCATCGATAAGGAAGGCTGTGAAAAAAAAAATCTGTGTTACAGAAGGTCAACAGGCTCAAAAAACAAGTGTTTATCCAGGAACAGGAAGTGACACTTAAAAAAAATAAAAAATGGCAAAGAGCAGAGGAAAAATCTGTAAGAAAACACAGGAAAACTTCAAAATGGGAAAATAGGGCTGACTGAATTTACAAACCTCAGAAGTTTGAAGTTCAGTGAAGATACCTGTAGATAACTGTACATATCGGTGTATATTCTATTTGTGTGTGCACATGTAGGTGTGTGTGCTGGCTCTGCGTCTGTGTGCACACCCACTTGTGCCCCTCTGCCTGCCTTCTCTCTGCGTGTGATCATCATCATCATGCCACTTCCAACCAGCAACATGTAGAACACATTTGGGCCTCTTTTTCTGTGTAGATTGCCTCTGACATGGTCACATCAGGACTGGAAGCTATCCCATCTAACGGCGAGCCCCAGTGGAATGAGCTGCCATCAATACATGATAGACGTATAAATATATTGAAGTTGCACTTGTTCCGGCCAATGTCCAAAACTAACAACTCACATCCAGAAATATTTTCGAGCCTAAAATGTCAAGTTCAATATCTGTCTCCAAATTTCTGCCTCCACACCAGAACTGTGGTGGTAAATGCAATTTGTTTGTGCTCACATGAAAAAAAAAATATTGTGATGATTAACCATGTAGTTGTCCAAAAGATGAAGCTATACTCAAGTATAACCGTTCACTTGAACCTGTCAAATAAAACTCCCTCTGCTGGAACATTCTCACCCCCAACTTGTCACATACAGATGTTTGGTTGTGACCTGTTGCCATGAATTTTAATCGCACCGATTACCCCACTAGTGTACAGTTTTGTTTTGTTTTAAATATTAGCAGGAGAGCTAATATATAGTCTGACAAGGTTTGTAAGGATGTTAGTCAGACACAAGAATGTCACTGTCTTCTAGGGATGCAAATTTGAAACCATTTTCTTAACCGCCACAATATCAATCAGTACTTGATTAATCACTAAGACATACAAAGTATAGTGGATGATTTTCCATTTGCAAATGAGGCCATTTTTAATCATTTTTATCCTTTGCCGTAAAATCAGTAAGGTTACACTTGGCTTTTGAGACACTGTCCCAGTAAACTATGCTGGGTGGAAGCTGTTAACTGCCACAGAAGTCTTTGTCATGGTGGCCCGTTGCTAGCTAAACACCCACAATGCTCTCTCCATGACAATATGGTGCTGTTCAAGCGACTACACCCTCAGGTTGCTGCAGTGTTAAATACAGGAAACGAGCTGCAGCCTCATTGCCAGGAAGAGGTTCCACCTGGTGGCACAACCAGGTACTACAGCTAATGTACGACATGTTTTCTGACATGCTTGTTCCTCATCTTGTGCTTTATCGCTTAATATATATTAATCAGTTGAGCAATTAATTGAGTAGCACTAAACATTGGCATCCCTAGTTTACTTACTTTTCTTCTTTTTTTTTTGGCATTCTTTGGTCAAGTTTAGACAGCAAAAGTTTATAGTTTGCAAAAAGAATTCAGGACATTTTAGTGGGCATAATTTTCCCGTCTGTAACAACTATCTCCTTTATTTTCATTCTTACGATGGTGATGAGTCCTGACACACACCACATGATTAGTTTCCTGTAAATGAGCGACAGTGACAAAAACAGAACAGTAAATTTGGATGCGATGCTATTGCATCTTTTTCTGTTTACAGAAGTTAAAATATAAAAGGTCCCTTTTTCGCATCATTTTCTATTTTAAGGGTCTGTGACTGTGACAAGTTGGAGGTGAGATCAGGTGACCCCATTTAAAAGAACTGCTGGACATTTTGGAAAATACGTTCATACCAGCGTTAGATAAGAAGTTTGATAGCTCTCCTGTCGGTTAGCTTCGTGTAGCATAAAGAATGGAAACAGCTAATCTGGCTCACTCCTAATGCTGTTTGATTAACACACTGTATCTCATTTATTTAATCTGTGCAACACCTCAAACCCCCCCAAAAAACACTTTGCTGTTCTCAGAGGGTACTATTTTTTTGTTTCTTGTCACTGCAGCCATCCAAGGTCCTCACACAACCACAAGAAACTACAACGGTCAATTACACGGTTTGGATTTGGCATGGATTCAAATTTTATTTAAAAAAAAAACACCAACTTGCTGAATACAACTGTTCATGCACCATTACGGGGAATAACCAAACAGCTGTAAGTGTAAAAACAAACAAGACCGCACAACAATAGCTATGACTAAATCGAAAAGAAGAAGAAAAAAAATAAAGAAATGTGTCATGAGATTGTTCAGTCGCGCTCTTTGATTTGCCATCCACACAAACCGCATCACTTTCGGCTTTTACTGCTGACAGGATGTCAGATGTTTATTTTATGGCAGCTATTAAGATATTTATGTTCGCTGTCAAGTTACCCAACACTACCAAGAACCCGCCTACTCAGTGAAACAGGTGGTTGGAGCTCAGAGCTGTCCTTTATTTTATTTTTTGTCGGTGGGAAGGCAGCGTTTTGTGGTGTTTGTTTCGTGTGTGTGGATGAGTGGGAGACGTGCTTTGATTCTCTTGATTAGTGGATTGATGTCAGCGTGTAGCGTACAGATGATGATTGTGAAGGTGTGTGTGGGTATCCATGTTTGTGTGTGTGTGTGTGTGTGGGTATACATGCTGACGAGTGTTTGCGGCGCTCCAAGAATGGAGTTTACTTCTGATCACAGGTCACAGCCTTGTGATTTAAAAAAGGGCTATTTCTCTGTCTTTAAATGTTTTGTAACTCATCTCCTTTTTTTTTAAACTTTTGCAACCAACATTTAGGTTAATCACCTCAATGAAAACCCTCAATTCTTAAATTAAAAGTGATAAATAGTTGAGCGTTTGTCTTAATGACAGAAGAAATTAGAAAATATCAATTTGCTACGAGACATGTTGTGTGCGTTCATGCGCGTCATCCGTCATTTCAGCTCATTAGACGATTCTTCGGCTGTTGGGAATGTACGCTCACCAGTTGGGTGTGATGAATATGCAGGAGCATTTTGCCATCAGGAGGTTGCCACAGTGGCTGGTAGGGGGGCTTTGTAAAGAATTACGCCCGCACCAGCAGCTCCTCAAGGCTGTCTCCTTTTTAAAGAGAGATCTGGGACAGATCCTATAATGAAAACTCACCATGAGGCTGATCAGATTATGGGACGATGTGGAACACCTACATTTGAGATGAAAGGCTGCCCATTATACGCTCAGCTTGTGCTACACGGCCATGCCCCACTTAGTTGCTCCGCTCGGTCCTGATCCTGTTATAGTCTCCAACGCTTCTAAGGTCACGAATGTAATGTAAATATCACATGTGCATTCATAAGCTCGCTCTATTATTCATTAGTATCTCCTCCTGCTCCAGTTATTCTATCCTATGCTTCAAACAGCACGTCGGCTCTCCGTGTCGTATCATCTGTGCCGGACGTATTCAGATCCTCTACTTGAGGAAAAAAAAAAAACACCGCATCCTCTGCTCCAAGGCGTACTCCGCTGATTTGACGTGTCCAAGTCGGTTTACTAGTGTCAGATCAGATCGCACTGCCTGTGAAAACGGTTGCGTAATGTCTTCTGAGGCTCTGGAGGAGACGTGTCAAGTCTGCTTAAATTACTCAAGTGATGCCGCACCCAGGTGACCAGGCCTAGACGTGGAAGACTATTTTGCCAAACAAACAGCCTGTTGAGGTTAAAAAACGGCACGGTTGAATTGAATTACGTGCGGCATAAGACACTTTAATTTCATTAGTTGTTGGAGTGTGACCTCAGGCTGCATCAGTGCTGGCCGTTGTTATACTATAATGTGCCGGACCCTTAATTTAATGAACACGTAGGCCTGAATCTATTCGGCGAATAACCCTCTGAACCCTACGCTGTTTCTGGGTATTTCTTTTGTCACGTTTTTACTCACTGTGGACTCATTTTTCACTCCAATATGCACCTTTATGGAAGCAGCACAACCACGACTGGAAGTAGAGAGGACTCGAAAATGTATTTTTTGGAGTATAACACAGTTAAAATGCCATAGATCAGAAAAAAGAAAAAAAATGTTACTTTACAAAATTTAAATAAATAAATAAATAAAACCAGAATCAGCATAAAGGACCTTTTTGCAAATTCATACATGTGTTGCCAATTCAACCAAGAAGTCCCAGAGTTTTTGTCAGATGACTGTCGGTTTGATGGCTTCACATGTGTCAAGGACGACAACATTTTTGATGAGTTTTAAGCTTAGATTTGATTAGGTTTTCAGCAGAACTCCATGTCAGAGATGAATAGTTCAAGGACTCCGATCCGAACGTTTCTTCTGTTTTTATACTTCAAAAAAATAAATCATGGCTTTCAAACTTTGCTGGCAGGTTTTGGGGTTCAGATTTAATTGGTAATCAAGACTCAAAGATTAAATTAAATAACAGATTGACTGAGAAAATACTGAACAGAAGGGTTGTGAAAACTGTTACTTGCAGCTCAATCTATATGCAACACTTCTTTTATTTAAGGTTATATATATTTAAGTTAGATTTCAACAATTTCCCCGAGGTACCCGACCAAAGGAATCAATAAAGTTCTATCTAAGCTAATATAGAAGTTTGCAAAATGTACTTTAGTAGCAAAAGCACACGTACTTAAAGGTAGAGTATGCAATACTACTTCATACACTTTATGTTTAATCTGCTAAATATCTTCTCATGAGCCACTAAATGTTCAGTATGTGTGTGCTGGAAAAATATCCAGATTTCATACACAGTCTTGGAGGAGGCTGTATGTATGTTGTAATTTAGAGTCATTAGTAGATGCCAGTTCATATTAAATGTTGAGTAGGTCACAGTGTACCATAATGTACATGATCATAGTGCAATACGTCCCTCTGAAATGTAGCTGAGTCATCATCTTCATACACAACAGTCAGTAGAAATATAAAGTAGCATAAAGTACCTCAAAGCTTTATTTAAGTACATAGCTTTTGCACGTTGTTGTCCTTCCACTCCCACAGCACGCTAAGGGATGGTCCATATCTATCTGAGAAGAAGAACCGAGGCACCCATCCGAGTTCCCCATCCAACCATCCGTCACGGTGATAAGTGGAGCCACGTCTGTCTGACATCTGTCACACATCTCAGTAGCGAGCAAAGAGCCTCCCAGAATATCTGATTAATCTTCGCTAAGCTGTCGTTTGAGTGATACCAGCGGGGGAGTAAGTGGCTCACAGCTCAAGCGGTGGTCCAGGGGTCTCAGTTTGAGCAGCTGCTTGGGTGTTTGATGGAAGGTGATGGCAGTTTATCACCTCCCGGAGCGGCGGAAAACCCAAAGTACTTACTGCATCTCGCCCACTTTTTGCAGGTGAGGGCCAAAGTTCTTGCAAAGCGTTTCGATCGTCCCGGTCTTGTTGCCAAGTTGTTGAACGGACGAGAACGGGGGGCCTCGTGGGATGTTGGGTGACATTGAAAGATTACAGCTGACATGCACGCGATGGGAGAAAGCTGGCTGATGGCCCTAAGGTGCGTTTTGTACGTTTGAAACAGATAAGTTGTAGTCATGGTTACAAAGGGAGTTGAGAAAGAGGAGAGAGAAGAGGGGAGGAGAGGGTGTCTGTCAGTGACAATATCCAAAGCTCGGGGATCACACAGCAAGTGGACCATGTTTGGAGAAGCTATTCGGCGCAGTTCAGCCAAAGGTTTTTTGCTGCTGGAATCTCAGTGTCCCAGACGAAACCTGCCGCCGGGTGTAAACACAGAGTGATACGGCACCTTTTTATTGTGTCTCATTCTCGCGAAAACAAAAACCCATCACTCCTCGCCTTCGCGGCTAAACGGTCATAACATTTTACGAGTCCATTCAAAACACGTTCGCGGGACGTCCATCTGTCTGATAAAACAAACACCGTCTCTGTTGTAATCAAAGGATCATCGTGTGCCGTCAGAGCTAGCTGGGCTCCTGTTCATACGGCTTATGTCAAAGGGCTACGCTCCTTCTACGGAGCGCGTGTAATCAGTGACGGCTTCGAATTTAAAGCTTTCTCTGGCTTCTCTTGGGGGCTGTTTTTGCTGAGAATAATCTCAACAATCTCGGGCAGCCGTGCAGATGTGGGGAAAAAACTGCAGCAGCTTGTCCACGCTGTGAGAAGAAAGCATATATCGCCGGATTGTACGGAGCAATTTGAAGTGCCTTATCGAGAGTGACATAAACAAATTGCTCTTTTATCCTTAAAATCCCTCCCGTTGTATCTTCAGCGTGTCTGAGCTGAAAGTTGTGGATTGTTGCTGCGTATTAAGAAGTGTGTTATTCAGCCTTTCTCGATGTTTTTTTTTTCCACAGCTCTGAGCTCCCATTACTGTAATTTCCATCTTAACACTGACTGCCTGATTGCAGAGGCGAGGAAAGTTTAGACTGAACAATCTCAAATGATCATCTCAAGGCCCGCGAAGTCATTTATCCCCAAAAAGAAATGTTAAAAAGTGGGCACATTTCAATACTATCTCGTGAGCACAGGGGGCTGTTTTGATTGATTTCTCCCCCAAATCCGTGTATTTGTTATATGGGAAATTGTGCTTCCCTCTGCAAAACCTGTGTGTCATCATGTCGAGATGTCATTCGAGTGTGTGTGTGTGTGTGTGTGCATCTCGCTGTGTGGGGTTTTATTTTTTTCCAAATGGCATCCTCAGCATGACGACGGCAGATTGGACAAAATATCACGGCACACATCAGGGAAGCTGATTGTCTCCGTCATCACTCCTTCCTCTTTAAACAAGTCTTTCAATAGTAACAAGCTTCCAAAGACTCACTTGGGCACAGCTTTCTGTGCTACTGGAAAAACATGTAGATACATGATTATCGTACATTTTCTATCACGGTTTTTTTGTAAATCTGCTTGTACAAAGTTCCAAAAATGTAGTATTACAAATTAGATTATGATCGATGTACAGCCAGAGTTTTTCTTTTTATTTGTGGAGGGAGGAAATGTTATTGCAAATCTATACAGATGTGAATTTTATGGAGTTGGGAAGCATTTCAAAGAGATTCTAAAGTCGAAGGTATAAATATTATGTGAGTTCATGATTTGCGAAGGAATGGATAAAAAAAAAAAAAGGGGCAACTTGGATCCAACTTTTCCCCACATTGGAGCTGCTTTCATGAGTGACTTCTGCAGCCAGAAAGAGGAAGAAGAAAAAAAAACTTGGAAAGCCGAGAGGAGCACAAAAAAAAATCTTAAACTAGTTTCAGTGTGGCCCAAAAGCCCCGAGGCAAGGGCTTCATTTTAGATTTTTTATTTTTTTTTTCCACCTGTAAATTTACGAGGCTTCGCACTCACCTTGGGAAGGAGCCGGACACACTTTCTAGCTTTTTGCAGTTTTACCACCCTGGGGAGAAGGTTTTGTGAAGCGACCCAACGCGTGTCCAAGGATTCGAGCGGTGCGGCGCCCCCCCCTCCCCTCCCATCTGAACTTCAAGGGTCACCAAAACCGTGTGGATTTAAAAATCAGCAAAAAAAAAAAAGAAAAATCCGTAGCCTGCTGCAAGTGTTAAATGTACATTCAGGTGTTCTTTTTTTTTTTTCTTTTCATTTGCTTCTGTACGTAGATGTTCATGTGTGTTCACTCACTGTGGCTTGTGGCTTCTCTTGCAAATAGGAAAAAAAATATATAAATTGAACAGTCTATTGTTTGCATTGTACATATCTATATGATAATACATTCTATGTAATTCGGATGCGGTACATTTGAAATGTACATACACATGTTTAATAGCTACTATCTGAATGTTTCCCTCCCCGACAAAAACCCCCTCATTTATTCTCTCCTCCCCCCCCTCTCTCTATGATACTCCCTGTACAGTAACAATGGTATTGATTTCCGTTTTGATGCATTCTTGATTGATTATTTGTTCCAGGACAATGAATCTGAGTGTTATTATCACCAGGCCACCTATGACACTGTAAAAACGAACTGCATTAAGTGGTTACATTGTGCCATATTCCTCTCAGAATGAAATTCAAATAAAAATATATGAAATGTGTTTTGGGAAATGTTTTTTTTTTTTGATTGACAAGGACACACAAGGACTTTTTTTTTTTTGGTGTCTTTTCTAACTTTTACTTTTTATTTCATGTGTTTTTTTTCTCTTTTTTGGAAATGTACCAGGAAACAAAAGGAATGTTAACTCCAACTACAATGGTGAGGGCTTTTTTTTTTCTTTCTTTTTTTTTTACAGCCAGGAGAGATGAAAAGTACAAATCAGTGGGTATAAATTGAGGTACAACAGAGCAGCAGGAGGAGAATAAAACTACAAAACATCTTGCACATTTGTACAGTAGGTATTTCATGCAACCTCCAGACAGAACTAACTGGAAATTTAAGAAACAAAGTGTTACAGTTTACTTGGAAAAAAAAAACTGCAAATGCACGACTCTTGTTTGTTGTTGTTGCTCAGATTAATTAAAGATGTTTATAGCTTCAATTTTAACCAACTGATTCATTAAGGCGGGGCATGGACCAAACAGGTTTCCAAATTAGGGTTAGGCTATGCATCTGTAGAACACATTCTAGGCAATTTGTTCATAAGAATCCTAGAAACAACATCATTAGGTGAGTAAACAAATCTTCTCATTATTCGCCCCTACCTACCGCCGAGTATTACATCTCCTACCGCAACATACAAGTTGTTCCTTATCTAGAGAATAGAAGAAAAAGTACACGTTGTCGCTAAAAGTCATATCTCCACTGGTTTTTGTCAAAGCTATAAAGGCTCCTAGTGTCAACCTACAGGACATATAAGGAGGAACCGTGTTGAAACAGGGCAGCGGACGCCGTGTCCGCCGTCTTCTTCCGTCCTCAACGAGGCTCAAACAACCTCATCAGTCCATTTGGGTGCGCTCTCGCTTCTTGCCTTCCTTCTTTTGCTTCTTTGCATCTGAAAGACAGAGAATGACAGAGGATTGTAGCGTCTGTATGCGTTTTAATCGCTTATTTTTATTAATCAGAGTGCAGCTTTAGTGCTCAGCCTCTCCTTTGGGATTGATTCAGTGACCTGGTGTATCCACCCCCCACCCTATGAAAACCCGCTTTATCGGCTTCCCACAACAATGGCTCGGCAACCTGGCAAGACATGACAGAAGCCGCAGAGCATGGCTTCCCTCTCCGCTCTGGTGAACGGGAAAGAGAGCACAACCTGCAGCCCGGGTTGGCCGGCTCGCTCCTGGTTAGTTGTTTTGTTGGGCTGTCAATCCGCCGAGCTGTTTGCGCATCTGTCTGTTGGTCTGTGTCTTAACTTTTCAAATCTGCGACGGCTTTGGTGGGTGCAGGGAGGAGGAAGAGCACAGGTGCAGACAAAAACAAAAGAAATGCACAATCAGAGGATCCTGAAAAGTGAATGTCTGGTTTGACTTGAACCGGAACACCAAACAGCTGCTGTACAGAGGTCAACATCAGCTGCCGGTGACCA